ATCACACACTAAGTGAGAATTCCAGCACTCAAGGTTAGATTTTCCTGCCTGAATTCTTTAGCCTTATTGGGTTGTCACTGTTCCCACTCCTTTAGGAACATCCAAATAGAAACTGAATAATCACCTACAGCCACCTGATAAAACTTTTTCATGTAACAGAATGAAACTCTATTTTGTAAAGCATCAAGGGAAGACTGTACAGCAGGCTCTACTCAAGCTTTCTACATTCATGCCATACCCACATAATTACAGATTATGTACAGTTGTTGGACTGCCCAGTTCTAGAAGAAAATAATTGCAAAATTCAACACTGTAATGACTCCCTAGCTGAAGCTGTTAAAAAAAAGAAACACAAAAATCCATTATCTCATTAACTTGGAAATGATGGCTGTTCGCGTGTCACACTGCTTACAAGCCTTGACTTTAACAAAATCTTATTTTGTAGAATCACAGAATCATTGGAAAAGACTGTGACGGTCATCTAAGTGCAAGCACTGACCCATCCCCACCATGCCCACAACCACATCCCTCTGTGCCAGTGCCACATCCCCACAGTTGTGGAACACCTCCAGGAACAGTGACTCCACCACCCCTGTGCAGCTGTGCCACTGCATCACCACCCTTTCCGAGAATAAATTTTTCCTAATACCCAACCTGAACCTCCCCCAGCACAACATAAGGCCATTACCTCTCCAGTAGTGGCATGGATGATGCGTGTCATGCAATATTACAGGTACTACTAAATACCTCATCCTACTAACTATACCTCAAATCCGTTAAATTTGGTAGGTGAGAAATAGTTCAGCTGATTCTATTCAAAGTTCATTCGTATTTGATTAAATCCAACATTCTACCTTTTTTGCCTTTTCTTCAGAAGAGTTGTAAAAAGAGATGTAAAACAACTGTGAAAAGCTTCCTCTCATCTCCATTATTGGGTCTATATTTGCTCAGCACATAATTTTTTTTAGTTTTCTCAAAGTACTCAAAATTATCAGCACATCATTCCCTTAAAACTTAATTAAACTGAATTAGACTCACTGGAGATCTAATTTTGTTTCCAGGAGCATTAGAATTTCATCCAGTAGCAGAATGATGTTCCTAGCGCGTAGGAAGACACATCAATGAAAACTGTGAAATAATGTAACGTTTATCAACCTATCTGAAGAACTTTCCATATTGTTTGGGTATGTTACCTCACAGAAACTCAAAGACTTGGTTGTTCAAGTCAGACAAGCATCTAAATCTCCATTTTAAATCAGTTCCTGACTATTATACAACATATTCATTATATAAACTAGTAAGCTCCAATCTCACCATAGCAAATTCTATTGCTTCAAGGATAAAAGGAAATCAGATAAGATCATTCATACTAAACTATGCTTTACAGGAACTAAAAACTGTGACTAGAAAATTGCACACACATCTCATCTGCAGAACATTGGCTGTATCACCATTATGCTACTGTCATCATCCCAGAAGACTGTGTTCCTATAGGACACCATTTGACTTAAATGAATTACCAGTACTACTGTATTGGTGGGCTCCAAATTGTGCCTGATTTTGGCCCAACATCTGCACTTACGCACAATCATTTCCAAACATGATTCCAGACTTCACATTATGAAGAAGTGCAGATTTATGTATTTGTTCTATAAGTTCACAGATACTAACTGGGTTGCTTCTGTTGCTTCCAAGCATGACAGGCAAAATACCTTTAACTGCATCTCTCTAATTACATTTAGCTAAAATTGAGGCAGCTCTGCTGTACTTACTGGCTCTGTGCCTCAGCTCTTTAGAAATATATGCCCAATTTACCAATTTTGTATAGGAAACTAATTAAAAGTTGTCTTTGAATACCACACTCACCATAGAAAGATCTCACATGACCATTCATAAACCTTAGGTGCCCAGGTGTACTGGGTATCCAATTAACCTTACCAACATCCATGAAACTAATAAGCCATGGCACAGTTTGCAGTGTCATTGTACAGGTGACAACTAAGTCTTGACTTCTGCCAAACTCCTCTACTTCATTAGGTCGAAACTTTTGAGAGCAGTTATTGGTTTTCCATTTCTTATGAATGGAATCTATATTCAGCATCTTTCTCTAGTTGTATGTTGTCAGAGCACATGCTTCACCAGTAAGTCTCACACATGAATAGGCACTCTGGTGAGCTTACAGAATATTCCTCGTGTGGATCACTTCTCTGATATTTAGCAGTATGAAATTATTCAAAAGATATACTGAAAAGCATTAGAAAGGAAACTTTATTCCCAGTTCCATGTGGCTGTTTGCCTCACACTCTAAAGTACACAATTAGAACTTCCAATCTCACCCTGTAACTGTGTGCCACTCCCCTGCTGCCCATCCAGCACTTGGGCTTCACTGTTACCTTTAAAGGGGCTGATAAGGAAGCTTGGTATAGCTGCTGAGACAGCAGACAGTACATCACAGGAAAGGATGTGGGTTTGATTTTTTATGTATTTTTTTTTAATATCTTGAAGCAAGCAAATTTCACTTTTGTCAATTCTTCACTTTTGTCTTATAAAAAAAGATGGAAAAACCCAACACCTCTGTACCATTTACACTTAAAATTGCACTACAGTATTTTTCTGTGAGGTACGTAATCTTGTACATAAAGGCCTTACTCTGTTTTGTGTTAACTCGTTCCTCGGGCACTGCAGCGTTTTGCTGCCCTTAAACAGTATTTAGAGAGAAATGTGATAGCAGGTACCAGAGGCTTTTCTCTGATTCCAGATTTTTACTGTTCCCATATATTTCAGACATTTTATTAGTCATTACTTTGCAACTGGGGAATTTCTACAGAATTTATGCTGAAGAAGATGAACTGTGGCTTAAAGAACAGTATAAGCAGGAAGCCTCTGTTCTGTTTTCTGCTGCTAACTCATTCCTCAGAAACTCCTCTGTTTTCCACTGCTGCTCTACACCCAAAAGTCTAACAGAAAAGAAACAATCCATCACCAGTAAGCTTCTGCTTGCTGCTCAGAGACCTTCAGCTGGAAATGTGACATTTCAACAGTACGGATAAATATGCACATTTTTTGCCAGCCTTAGTTAAAAAATAATGGAGTTAACATTACATATAAGCTCAAGGTTTTTTTGCTGAATTTCACAAGAAATATTTAAAAGTCATAAATTCTGACTTAAAACCAAAATACAACAGGCACATAGCAGAAAATACATTCTATTCCACATGACAAAACATATACGCATTAGGTTACTAATTAAATCAACCAACTTCCCATGTTAATAACTAAAATGGTTTTCGAAAGGTAGAAGGTTTCATTGGCCAGAAATTCACAACCTACACACAGCAAGTTAGCTTCCTGGTGCAGTAACACAAAACTGTCTCAGGAGGTGCCCAATAGCTTTCCCTTAATTACTAAGGGGCAAAGAAAAAGCTTAACATTTTATTTGGAGAAGAAATGAGACTTTTCCCCAGAGTAGACAGACTGTAAAGAAACAGGTTGCATGCATCTATCCTTATAATTCCTTCCCTGAAATGCACTTATTTTTGCTTCCTTAGGAAAAATTTTCGAGTGGCTGATCCAGACAAACAGAAGAATGTTTAAAACTTCATTTCTCAAAAAAAGAAAAAGTCCAGCTACTCTCAGAAATCAGCCTAAAAGCACTGGTTGACTTTTCTTAATTGTACAAAATACAAAATGAAAGGTTATAAATCCAAAACAACTGTTTGCAGGCTGTAACTTTGATTGATCACATCTGTCATGCTCTGTCATGACCTGATTGATCACAATTCCTCATGCTCTAAGTTTTCATTGAGATTTTTTCTATGAAATTTGACTATACTTAAGATGCCTTTCCAAACTGTAAAAGAACACTCCAAGTCCTTCCATTTGACAATTACATTCATTCACTAAAAGAAAAAAGGGAAAAAAAAAAAAAAAAAAAGGCACTGAAAGACAAAAAACATATTTCTTACATAGTAGTTAGGAAAACCAGTACCATAAATGAACTATTCAGTGCTTACCAACCTGAGCTTTACATGAAAGCACACAAACACAACCAGGGTGCAAACTTCCAAAAGTACAGATGACAAAATTTCGTTTTTGTTAATGGCATGAATTAAAATCCTTTATGTAAGAGTACACAGAAAAGCAAGAGTGCAGAGTCTTAGTTCCTGGCTTAAACAAGGGCACTTGGCTTGTGTTACGTTCAACCACCGGAGGTAATTAAATTTTGATGTAGTTGTATTAAATGCACTCAGTGTAGTAAGTTGTCAAGTTACTCAGCAATCAAGACTAATGTAAAAGCTAGATACTTCAGTGACAAAAACTTTCAGAAAGAAGTTTGCTTTCCTCCAGCACAGCTAGACAGACTCACTAAGGTCACTTCCCTCGCATAGCAGAGCACAGAGCAGACTAAACACCAACCCAAAGGACTGAAGTCTCGCACAAACACTGCTCCTTGAAAGTCTCCACCGCTTATGAGAATTTTGCAAGCAAGTTGAGCGCTGGTTAATGAGTAAGTTATTTCATGTCACGTTAAAGGATTTCATTTTCAGAGAGTAGAAAACCCGCTGATACAGCGGGGTTCTGTTAGCCATGCAGATGGATTAATTTCTTGCTCTGTTTCTGATGGGGAAAAGACAAATGAAGTGCCCTAAGACACTGTTTTCCAGATTTCTCCACTGTCAAAAAATTATAACTGGCTCTTGCGCACATTTCATGGCCTGTAAGCAATGCTGAGTAAAATACATATAACTTACTACAAGCAACGTATCTGAAACAGACATCTATCAAGTAGTCCCCTAAAAGACTAACTTCACTTCCTTAAAGTGACAGACGAGAAGACCCACACCCCTTACTCCTTGTCCTATTCCAGCGCCTGGAGAAAGCAGCAAGGAAGCCAGGACCCGCACAGCAGCCATTCCCCACGCACCCCGGTCTCCCCAAAGCAAGGCAGAGCACGCCGCAAGGCAGAACAAAGTTGCAGCCGTGCCCCAGCAGAGAAGTACCTCCGTCTCTTTAGCCGGGCTGCTCGCCGCCTCCGCATCCAAGGCGCAATTCGCCCTCTTGACCGAAAGGTAAAAAGGGTAATCCTTGGCCACCATCGCGGCGGCGCGAGAGGCTGTTTCGGGTGTCACAGCTGATTCTGTCCGAGTCCAAACCGCGAGGACGGGGCCGAGCCGGTCAGGCTGAAGCGTCCCGTGGCCGGCGAGGAGCGGCAGGCAGCAGACGGCAGACGGGCACGGAAGACTGCAGGCGACCGCCCCTCAGCACGGCCCGCCCCGCTGGGCGGGAACGGCCCCGCCGCCTCACGGAGAGGCGGAGCTGCGCGAGCTGCCCGCGGCACGCAGCCACCCGCCGGGCCGGGTTCCGTTTTCTCTCGGCTACGCTGTACTCCCTTAAGGACGCAGCAGCACTCTGAACACATGTTATAAGCTGAAATTTCAACCTGGCCTTGCCGCTTGCTTGTCGTGGAGTAAATGGAATTCTATTATTGACCCGCCGTTGGGCTTTCTTGACAGCTGAGTACCTGACAGAACTTCACGGCAACTAACAGCTCTCCCAGGTGCCCCTGCACTCAGGTCCCACAACACAGTTTGCATTCCTGTGGATGGCGGAGGCACCCGCACCCTGCAGCCGTGTGCCCCGCACCGCTCAATCGGGTCCTGCTGCGCGTTTCTTCTGTTTGCCCACATTGTTGCTTCTTCCTGTCTGGCAAGCAGCAGTTTGTTCCCATGTTTTTAAAGTTACGATGCTATTGTTTAGCCCAGGAGCTCCCATACCCACACCCCTCATTGTAACCAGCTGAGGGAGTGGAAAACACCTCTGCAGAACGTGGCACACCGGGCCTTCCCGTGCTCATGGAGCCAGATACACTGTGTGTGGTTCAAAGGAAGTGAAACTCAGGACGAAGGTAGTGAAACTTTCCTGTAAGAGAGAGGAAGGGCTGAGGGCCCTGTCTGTAATACAAACAAGAGTAAATGGAAGACAAGGAAAAGGAAACTGTGACAAGGAAGCTGGCTGGAGAAGGAGGGAAGGATATTTTCAGCCAAAAGGAAGCAGCACAGCTGAGAATAACTTCAGAGTCCAAAAGAATTAGCTGTGTTTTTAAAGGTAGAGATATGATGGATCCTGCTTTACAAGCATTTATTTTCCCAAATGTTGCTAATCAGACAGCAATACCTTTGGAAGGTTATTCAAATGGCAGTCTTACATTGATGCTTCCTTTGACTTCAACATCCCAAGTGTACACAATGTTTATCAAGACTTTCCCAGACCTTTTCAGGAGCAACCACAGTAGAGCCTGAGATGGTCACCTCTTAAACAGATCTCTATTTTGTAGCAATCTGCTCAGAAAAACAAACAAAAGCCCAAAACAACCCACAGCACACACCAGTCTCCCAAACCTCCAGTTCCTGGAAAAAAGTCTGAAGAAAAATTAGAAGAAGTTCAGTATGTCCAGTCCTTCTACTAGTGAAATCTGAAGTGATGAGCAGTACTCTCTCCTCATCTCCAAAGCGATAAGGGAGGAGACCAGACAAGGCTCACTGGAAGCAGCAGTGTTGATGTAAACCAAGGAATGATTTCTCACTACACTGAACCCAAGAAAAAAAAAAGGAAGATCAGAATAAACTGTGTGGTAGAATATCTGGAGAAAAAAAAAGAGCTAATTCTTCATGTTATGTACAGTTTTCAAGTTACGTACAATACACATATTTGTCACAAGATACTGTTGCCAAGAAAGTTTCTCAGTGACAAGTTACTGGCTACTGCAACAGCATTTTAGGAAACAACCTGCCATGGTATTTTCTTTTTCACACTCCTCCCTAAGAAACCACTGTTTACCACCACTGGAGAATTGATACTAGGCTAGACTGATCAAAGTTGTCACCCCATTACTCTTTATTTTTCATAAGATATGAAAATAATTTTATTTTGATGAAGATTACTTGTCTTAGCTATACGTTTCTGAAAACACAAACAGTTTTCATCCATATGAATGAAACTCATCTTCTGTGTGATATCCAGGGATATCCCTCCTGTGAGCACAATCCATTGGACAGTTTCTCTTTACACTTCAAACACATCAAAACACCAATACATACAGGTTTCCTAAAATGGCCAGAACCTCCTAAAAACACTGCAGCAGCTGTGCAGCCTTCACACCCAAGAAGTCTTTCTAGCTTTCAAATACCATCTGTGTATGCTTGTTTATGCACGTATATGCTAAGACCATTTTAGAAATCAGCTTCACTTAGAAAAAAAAGGCTTCAGGGCATGCCCTCAAACCTTTCTAGTCCTGTCATATGCTTCACAGCATAAAGAGCACTTCACACAGGGCAGGACTCTACTGGCTTGGAGGCTGAAATAACGAACATGCAAAAAAAAAAAAAAAAAAAAAAGCAAAGGGATGCCATCTTTCATCTTTTTATGATTAATCAGGCCAATGCACTTTGGTATAACTAAAAATTCTTGAGAAACAAGAGAAAAGTCTATTTTAAGAGGAATATAATTAACTGCTAGAAATAGGCAGGACCAATAAATTCCAGGGTAAGTTTCACCTAAAGAACTATAACTTCCATGAACACCTAAAACAGGATTCATTAGAAACTTTGCATGCTCTACTAGTAGAGCTAGTTCAGAACTGAAATTTGGACTGAAAGTTCATTGATGCACCTAACTTTGTAAGCATCATACTATCTGATGGAATTACCTAACAGGACAATTCAAGCAGTCCTCTCATAAAATCATTCAGAAAAGGTTTGTTTTTCTTTGCTTATAATCCTTTTATTTTTCTTTTTTTTCCTCTGTTCAAGAAAGTTACCACCACTGACCTGGTTCAGGACTAAAGCTCACTGCTAAAATTGTTCTGTAATCATCTGGTTCACACCACTGATTTTATTTAGTTTCCTCATACAGTCAAAACCAAATACTAATGTATATATTGCAAAAGCATCTGTCTGTACAACAAAGTCCTTTGAAATATTTAAGTTTTAAAACCTTAAAAATATCCTCACAATGTGCCCGGAATTCCTTTTAATCCTACATTAATCTTCAACATTCATATAGCTTTGATCAGAAACTTGAAAATTAAAGTACTGTTGCTAAAAGATTTCACAAGGGATATAAAATACAACGGCAAAAGAGCAAAAACAAGAAAAGAAATTGATTCCTTCAAAGCAGTGTTTAAGTCGCCATTATGCTTGACAGCAGTAAAAGAAACTGAAACGTTTAATCTAAACATCTAAGTAGGAGAAAGCCAAATGAATGAAGCATCTTTATCCACGGGCTTTAAGGAGTTCAGTGGAACATAAAATCATCAGTCAAAGCTGAACTCAGCCTAAGGAAGAAAACACACAAATAGATTGTTTACACTTTGGGGTTGGTGATTTTGTTGTCTTGTTTAGGTTTTGTTTTAACATGATCTTTGCCAAAACATTCCAACTGCCTTTGGGCAGAAATGCAGTATCTGTAATTAAACAGAAATATTTTGAAACGTCTACACCTAGATCTTGATTACCTTCTTCCTCCTCATGTGCTAATGTGACTGCTTCCCCTGTTAAGAGTCAAAATTTGTTTTGACAAGTTGTTAAAAAAAAAAAATCAGTTACATGCAGCCAGCTTCTAGTAAAAAATTAGGTGTCTGCTTGGCTATCTCTGCTTTTCTTCCCTCACCCAATTTAATATCATCCTTGTTGTTGTTCTTTTTTCTTTTTGCCTGCAGTTGACTGTGATACCTAAACTACAGCCCAGCCTCCAATTGCAACAATTCAGTCTATTTTATTTTTTTTTATTACAACTAGCAAAGCTAAAAGAGAAACTGAGCTAACTGTGTTCCTCCTCTGATCCATATTTGTGGCAGTTTTCATTCATTTTGGATCATTTAGAAATACAGATTATGCACCAAGACATAAAATTCACTAAGAAAGCATCTTTGTGACAAGTTCCCAGTAGTAAGAATTTAATTAAAGGTATAATGCTTTGAAAAGTAAAACTTACCACTATCATCTTTGGACATGCCATATCCCCAACTGATTTTTTTTAATAATATTAAAAACAAACAGTTCCTTGCTTTGTTTTCAAAGCAAATGAATTTCCATCTGAATATTAAGTTATCCAGTTATCTCTGAATCACCTGAAATATTACAGCCCGGCTATTCATTACCCTGTGTTTATGATGGGAGTAAAAGACGTAAAGTATGTTGCATCTCTATACAATTTTGGCTAGGAGTGCAGAATACTTGTTACATGAAAAAGCTCCCCAGTTTGCACCCCATGGATTATTCTTAGAGTACAGGCATCTCATATAGGTACCCACCATGTGGCTTCATCAAATAAACAAAACAAAACCCACACCAACAGAAACGCTACTTCTAAGAGGAACAATTTCACTAAGAACATGCAGATAAAATTTGCTACTCTCAAACGACCAGGGAAGGCTAAGCAAGCTAATGCTGCACGTGCACACACAGTTCTGTGCTTACTGAGAAACTCTGACACTTCTCTTCAACGCGCTCCAACATCTCTTGAGGGTGATCATTAGGAAGCTCTCATTTCAGAAAGGAAACTATGAACACTTCCCACTCCCCTAAAAAACAATTTTGGAAGTGGTTATTTCAACAAAACAGTAAAGATTTGAATCTGCTCAGGAGCTGGATTGCAGAAACTGTGACAATGCAGTAGTTAAAAAGCATATTAACTACGAGATAAAGGATATTTATCAGACAGCTGCACAGCTGCTCATGAAACTGCAATTTCTTCATTGCAAACACAGACTGTACACACAGTAGCAAGAATGACAATTTACTAGGTAATAAATATTGGAACAAGATCACTTGATTAAACACACTGGTGCTAAGAAATTCCAATAAAAATAGGATTACAGGATAAATGATTACCATTAAAAATCTTCTCTCGAAAACCACAGCTATAATTTTTCCAGGTGGAGTCATAATCCTGCAAAGATCAGCACAGAACAAAGAAACACATCTCAGAGGAACATCTGACATTACAAAAGTGAAGCCCAATTTTCTATTCTGCCTGGACTCTCCATTTGAAGATTATCTTTCATATGACCCTTATTTGTGGAGCTTATGGAATAACAACGGGAGGAAGAAGTTAAACACTTACATTTCCTCACTGTAATCATGCTCTCTGCTTTGGGATTTGCAGCCAAGAAATCCCGCTATTTCCCCTGATTTCAAGTAAAATGAAAAATAGCAAGAGCCTTCTTTGTTTTCCATTGTGGATGATTCCTATTTCAAAGGACCACCTTTATGTCAGAGTGCATTCAGATGGAACCGATGGACAGAGAGACATGATTCTCACACTGATCATCATGAACACATTATTGTTTAAGCACACATCGTTCATTCAGCAACCTGCAGGCTTTGAAAGAAAATACACATATGCTTTTGAAGCTTTTTCATGTAAGTGTGGAACAAGTCTGCACTGGAGACAAACGCGACAATCTGCCAATTTTTTTGTTTGTTTTTTATGGATTTTTTTTTTCCTATCATCATGTATCTTTTGATTACTACAGAAAGTACTGTGCAGTTAAAGGATGCTCTCTAACAATTGCCATATGCACTCAGATAGAGACAAAAGCAGAAATTTGCCTTGGGAAGACAGTAAGATATCATTTTTTAAGCTGCCTCAAATTCATATCTGACTGCTGCAGTGTCTGTCTCCTGCAGCTCACGACTAACAAAGGCCCACTGAGAAAATCAGGAAGGATTCATGCTTCTCCACCCCTCTACCACACCCAGCAATGCAAACTAATTACTAAGCACGGTGGTCCCTCTGGAGGGAATGTAGAGGGTGTGGTGAGGCTGGATGAGATGACCCTTCATGATTTACACTTGTAACAAAGCACTTGCTTGAGCTTCTCTTCCTATGCTTCCCCAGGGAAGAGCAAAAGAGGAGAGGGAGAGCATTGTGCTGATTTATCTGGGTGGATTTTGAAGAGCCATTGAAGGACTATAGAAGTGACCTTGAATGTAAATGTTCTTTCCTTACATTGAAAGAGGCATTCTACATACAGAGAGGAAATTACTAGGAACTGCTTGTATGGTATTTAAATGAGATTAAATATAACTAAAATTCTTTTGCATATATTACAGGCATTGATGGAACAGAAATTTCTTGCCCTGCTGACTGGAGAATTAAGTAACAAATTTATTCACCACACACCACTGTTTTTAATAGAAAGTGTTTACCAAGACATCACAGTAGTGGCATTTTCTTTGTTTTGATGAGGTTATAATAACATTTATATTACATGAATTACTCTATAATACTTAGGAAAGAGAGAATTTTACTGTATTTTGCTATTTGCATGTAAGCATATGCGTAGGTATGAACAAGAAGAAAATGAAGAAAGGATTAACTATTAAGAATAACAGGAATTTTCCCCACTTTATCACTTATTTGACACATAATACTGGCCAAAAACCACTTACTTTGTCCCTCCAACAGCAATATGTAAAGCATTGTTTGGGGTTTATGTGGTTTATCAGGCCAAATTCTATAATGGGGGAGGGGTGGAAGGAAGCAACAGAAGAGCTTTCAGGTATATAGGTCCTTCTTCAGGTCAGAAAAATAAGCAGCAAGCAGATTGTGGCCTTCTCATTTTTCTTCTCATTTTCACTTACTCATCTGGTAGCACAAACTTTAAACCTTGGCTCAATGTCCATCTGTCCATTTTGACAGAAATTTTGCCACATTTACATCTAAGTACAATTCTCCCCATTCCTCAGAATTTATCTAAGAACAGTCACATTCATAAAAATTCTTCACATTTTGGAGTATGTTTTTGTTTCAGGAAATGCAGTACTTAGGATACAAAGTCCAAAAAATTTTTATGGACTTTGATGACAATGGACATTATTTTACCGTATGACTGAGATTAATTTGCTAATAATCTGCCACTTGTAAAAGAATAACCCTCACTTCCAACAACGATAACCCTCCACTCCAACAAGAAGAAATACTGACTTTTTATTGTGAGATTTCTCCAGCTGCTTTAGTGAGCTGAATAGGTTACGGTGCCACTGGAAGAAAGCTAGAACACACTAAAGTGGAGGGAAAGCACACAGGTACAAATAAGGACAGTACAGGAAAAAAGCTCCAAATAGTGATCCACTGTTAGCTCAACGTAAGTTTTTTCATGAAGTCATACACAAAGAATACTGTCAGCATTTCAGTTTTTGGACTAAAGTTCTGGATAAGAAGCTTTTTTATCATTATTATTATTTTTAAACAGATCCACCTAAAAATTTCCATAACAACCATGTACTGTTACTCATCAGCTATTTGTGCCAATTTAACTATCTTGAAATTAAGAGAACATCTGTGTTTTCTGAATAAA